CTCCATCATCAATCATCAATCGCTTCCTCTGCTAATAATACATGCTCCTATCTGGGTTGCATGCTACTACGAGACTGCAGAAGAAATATACATTTGCATAAAAATCCATTCCCTAGTGGATTTTAAAAGCAAATATTTATTTGTTCCCTCCATTCGCCACTTGTTTGTAGGGCATGCGACGCCTAGAGAACATACACAGTTGAATGTTTCAAATTGCCTCAATTCCATGCTTGTCCAAGGGTAAAAGGAGCGAGGTTATATGGACAGTGCTGCTCCTAGCGGTGATCTTTCTTTGGACGACGGTGGGGTAAAGTTCCTGAAATGAAATTCGCTAGTCGACATCAAAGAAACTTTGTAGCCTACCGCAGAATGTTAGCGCACTTGTTGCAGCCAGCTTTCCCTCTTCCGCTCAGGATATCTTCACAAGACACTCCACAGTGGAAGGCAATGAGGAAAAACGATAAACCGAGAAGAAATCCGTATCGTATACCGACAAAAAAAAATGTTTGCGAGTACATTGCCGCAGAATGAATGTGCCTTTATTATGGTAGAATTTCATCCTTTCATGTGCAAATGCGAGAGGTGATAGCGATAGAGACGTTCTCGTTAGCCTTTTTTGTCAGTTTTTGTACCTTAGACATGTGGGAAAGGGACTATCCCTTGAGCAATGAACATCGGCTCGAAATAGCTTTCAATGGCTTTCTCGTTGAGTCGATAGTGGAATCCCGGCGCGCCCCATTATATCTATCCTTGGATAAGGATAGGATAAATTCAGGATTCCTTCTCTCTTGCGTCGCAATTGATTTCTCCCTGTAACCAAGGCCGGATAGATAACGTCAGCAAAGAGATAGGATGCACCCGTGAAGCCAGACCCTTTGCCTCATAGGTCCATGCCAGTCACGATTCTCTTTGACAAGATGAACCGATTATGCGCTTATGGCCTTCATTTTTCGTCATGCTTTCCACCGCTGATTTTTTTTATTAATTTTTTCCCCCTACATTTATTTCCTTTTATATTTATTTCCATAGAGATTTTATTTCTAGGTTGACGAGGAGAGAATATTATGACTTGCCAACTCATGTTAAGTAAGGAATGGATTTTCGTGCAAACGCATTTTTTTTTCTACTGCGTCATAGGGGCATACAACCCGGTTGGAGCAAGTATTAGAGGTTTTCCAAGTCAAATATGAAAATAAGAAAGTCAAATGCAACAAGGAAATTCAAATGCCTCGTTGTGCTGCTTGGAAGCGTCAAAAGCGACACAGAAAGTCATTTTTCTTTGAAAGACAGGGCATGCGACGGACACAAACGACAACGAACGTATTAAGGTACAGAAGTATGCCTGCTTGGCACGGGCACCGCACTAAAATCACAGCCCCTCCGACTGGGACACCCTTCTACGGTCCTATAGGAGGCCCTAAGCTTAAGCCCTTGACTGGCACAAGTGATTTTTAAGGTGTACTGCACCCGTATCTCCTCGACGTGGCACACAGAGTGGCGTGTGTGTTATCCGACGATAAGCAGACACTCCCCATGAAAGCTGGTGGGTCGCCTGTCGGCGGAGGAAGAGCCCGCCGCCACCCGGACTCGATCTCTCCCGGGTTTCATTTGGAAGCCAGAACCACTCGTCAACCGAATCTTAACATAAGGAAAACCAAGTGCGTCGCTCTGCCGGATGTTGAACTTGAAAAAAAAAGCATGTTAGACACAAGGAAAGTCAAATGCCACAGCCGTATATCACACCTGTACCAGACGATTGGCTTCTCACTGCTTTTCCATTTTGCACGACTCCATATGCAAATTCATTTATCCAAATGCATGTACATATTTGGATATGACATCATTATTGCATGTATCATGTTGGCAACCTTTGATGTCAAACCAAGAAAAATGCAAACTACGGATCGCAAGTATAGGTTTTCCAAGGCTAAATCATGTATGCATGACGCCGCGCGCGTCATGCAATTTTGGTTCGTCCTGGCCACCCTCAACAGAAGCCCCTGTATCGTAGTAGGACCAGGGATACCACGGCCTTGTGAATCGCTGGGGGTCCAACCATCAAGGGTGTCAAATACGACATGGATATTTAAATTCGACTCTGCTTTGCTTTGCATGGCAGTCAAAAGTGACAAGAGAAAAATCAGATAAGACTGCCCTGTCGGAATGCAGACTTTCAAGATATGCATCTGGCACGAGAAATATCAAATGTAGCAGTCCCATGTGCAATCATTAGCTTAGCCGCTTTCATCATAAAGTCACGCTATTCCAGGCAGGGATGCATTATTGTGTACACAGCAAAAATTGGTTTCATTTTCCAGGAATGACGACGGAAGTGGTTTGATGTCTCTATGTCCCTACTCTGAAAGAATGGACAGGTCATACTCATACAAATGATCGCTATCGAAAATCCTCTCTTTATTCTTTGCCAGCAGTTATTTCACCCTTTTTTCCTGTGATCTTTGAAGCAATTGGATGTTAAAATGTTGTATTTGAATTTCCATCCCGCACTTGGCTTTCCCACTTTACCCACATTTGACTTGAAAATCAATAATTTGCAATTTTTAAGGGAGATGCCCCAAAAGCACCTTCCCCCAACCTTTTTTGTAGTCGGAATTAGGCTGCGTTCTTTTGAGGTACTCATTTCTTTGACAAATCTTGACTTATCGACGGTTGCCAAACATGATTAATTGCAATAGCTGCGTCACATGCAGATGCATTTGCAACCGTGCGTTTTGGAAATGGAACGCGAGTGCGGTCCCCTGGCATGGGCATGGTCTATGCCTTTCGCAATTGACTTTCTCATTTCCACATTTGACCTAGAAAACTTACACTCTGAGCGAGAGCAATTTGTACCCGTAAAAGAATGCATCAAATGTATATTTCGACGTTATGCGTAATTCTGCGGATTTGCCAAAATTGTTTTTTCCTCTTCCCCCTTCAATTTCCCGGAAAAACCCGGGAAAAGTCTCCGTTAGATGAACCAGCATGTTTTGCATATTTTTACATTTCCATCCAGACTTCATGCATATTTTGGCATTTTTACTCAATACTTGGCATATGGCAGCACTTAGCGCATAAAAATATTGTCTCTGTTGATAATAAATAGAGAGAAAGTAATTTTAAAAAAAAACTGGAAAGAAAATGTACTGGACTATTAAAGGAAAGACCCTGTTGAAATTTCAGTTCACGTTCAAGGTACAAATCGAGTTTCTGTCTCAGGAAGGCATTCGTTGGCATTCATTGAAGGGACTCGCAATCAGCATTGACATGCTGAGGCATTGATTCTCTTCTTCCCCTTGAAAGACTTCAATTCCGCGGGCAAGCACCGATCGTGGAGGAACTGGGAATAGGAGGAGGATCTCCTCGTCCGTTGTGAAGGGGCTTCCGGTATGAGGAGGCATCGATCATGGGAGGATAGGGCTCATTTCCCCCCTACCCCGGGGAATGTAGACAAATCGATGATCATCGGCTCAGCTTCCTTTCGAGGGCTAAAATGGAACCTCTGTATCTTATCTCAGCGTGGATGTCATGCTCTCATTCGGAAAATCGGGGTAATTTTCTTAATCCGATGGCTATCGTTCTTTTATTGAGAGAAAAAGGCAGTAAAGGTCAAGAAAATCCTTGCATTTAGGCAAATTGCCTTCTGGAAGATACCTAGAGAAAAGCCTAATCGACTTTGGAATTGTGTCGCACAATAATGATGTTATGAAATCTGATAGCGTTAATGTCCCGCTATTGCATCGTAACTCTGAATTCAACCATAGTGGGATTTCTAGGAATTTCTAATGCCATGGTTGTCAGAAATTGACAATATTGCGTTGTATTTAGATTAGGAATCCTGCAAAGCTCTGAACCTCCTAACCGCGAGGCATGTGTTCTGGGTGATCTTTCACATCGTGTGTTGAGGCAATTGAGTTCAGGCAATTGAAATTCCCTGAACATACAAAACTCAGATCATTATTACAGGCCATTTAAATCCATGGAGTGAATAGAAGTTTGATTGCAAACCTTTATTTACCCACCGTCGAAATAGCTCGTCAATTGCAACAGCTCTCTTTAAAAAGCTCTCTCGATCTGTTATGAAGAGGGGAATCTAATCTTTTATTTAAAAGTGTACAGTGCCAGTGTACGTATTAGCGAAAATTCATATCTTAGGCATCACCATCAGATGATGGTACTTGCAATCCTTCGTTTCATCCTAGACGGTGGTCTAAATTCACGGGGAAAAACGATCGACGAGGCCGACAAGAAGAGGGAAACCACCGGGAAAAATTAAAATAAATATTAGTATAAAATAAATAAATAAACGTTATTGAGTGGGATTGTAATTTGTTTTGCTTGTTACAATTGTCATGATTTTCAACTGAAATTTTATTCATAAATCCATTAATTATCGTTATTTCGTTACGCTTCGGTTGCGTTACCCAGCCCTGGACAACTATCAACCGAAATATTCATCTCATATTTTCTATTTATTTTGCTTTCATGCTTAGTTTACTTTGCAGAAATATTGCAGAAAGGTAATGCTATGACTGGCCCGCACGCACTAAATAAGGGAATGCGCATGAGATTCCCATTCCGTCCCTTTATTGATAGCAATGGGTCTGGAATAGCCCCGTCCTGGCTCTCATTTATAGTGTCATCTATGCACCCCCCAAAACACCGGAGACCTCAGATACAAAAAAAGCCTTCCCTTAATGAAATCAGGATCGATGAAATCCCCGCACGAGCTCGTGGAATTAATAGGAGCGCTTCTTGCCATTCATTCTCGTCACACAGCCTTGTACCCAATAGTGTCGCAGTTGGATTGACGCGGACCGAGGGATACGTAGACACCGTGATTGCACTTTTGTTGAAGGAAGGAAGGAAAAGGGTGGGAAGAAAGACGAAAGAGAGTCAGGGAAAGCTAGAAATCGATATCTTCCTCCCTCTCCTTCCCCCACCATCTCTCGGGAAGGAAGAAAAAAAAAAACTCTTTTCAGCTTTTCGACTCTGTGCAGGCTGAACCCGCGAAGAGAAGGCCGAGACGAGGAGGGAGCGGCGAAGAGGGAAGATGTCGTGAGGCACGAAAGGGAAGGAGGAGAAGACGGAGAGTGCGTACGTGTGCTTTCCGGAGTCCTCGCCCAGTGCAGCACAGGAGTCATGCGAGCGAGCTTGAGCTGAGGCTCCCATGCTCGTCTCAGTCGGGGCCCAGTCCAAATCCACCCTGCATCTGTGCACCTCGAACCCTTCTTTTCCTTCCCTTCCATACGGCGGGTATGGGAACTTTTTTTTCCATCGAATAAGCATTTCTTTCATTCTGTATCTGGAGAGCCCAAGAACTTCTTGATGATGTCATATGACATGATTCTCAGTTTTCTTACATTTAACTTGCTTCCCCGTGGGTAAAGGCTGTGAGGTTTGAGCTCAGGCCCATGATCGAAGCGGAGCCCTGTAATATTCACCAGAGGTAAAAAATATACAGTTGTTCGATTCAGTTGTAGCTAGACAGAGACATTCGTGCAGATCACTATGGCATACGACAGGTGGTGGATGACTGTACTGCATCAGTCGACAATTTTGAGGGGATGATTTTGTCGCATTAGATATAGATGAATATTCCGACTATTCCAATCTTCTAACATTTCAACGTTTGACAGTTGTTCTTTGCGCCATCATGCGGCATTCACATTAGAATGAGTTCGAGAATCCTAATTCATATTCGGAATCCAATTATCACAGTGAAACTGATACTCTTATTCATGTTCGAGTAGTGAGAATTATATTGCTATCCTTCCTAGTCGTGGGGTTTCATTCCTGTCCGACTTAGTTTCGTTGTGTAGGTATATACAGGTAGGTGTAGGTAGGCACGATGGCTCAATAAGGGCACTTCGTCGTTTCCGTCTCATCGAAGTTTCATACAGTATGGAACGCAAATTTAAATGTTATAGCAGCCAAATGTTAGGGTCGATACTGCGGTGAGACGAACATCCGATCTGTCGGATATGACAGTTACGACTGTATCGACCCCGATCGGAGTCCAGGGGGCCTTAGGCCAGGAGGGCCACGCACTTTCTCCTACCAGTGCAGAGAGCGAAAATGGCTGAGTACTCAGGTTTGGCATTCGTCTTCCCACGTTCTTGTTTATCCTTCCCCAATCTTACTTTCTGTGCGGATGGATTGCTTGATTGAAACTTCACAAATAAAAATATATAGCTTGAATGGTAACCTGATGGCCGATTCCTATGGGATAAATTCCTATCTGACCGCTACAAGAAGGCCTTACTGCAGATGTAGATATTCAGGAATCTTCCGTCACCATGCCAGAATGTCTGTGATGAGACATTCCCAGTGGAATTCATAAACTATGAGGTGAGATGGAATAGCGGAGAATCGTCCTCTTGGGATATTTCTGTATATACTGTTGGCTTCTGTTGGCCAACTGCCAACCGCCATAGAAGAAGGGATTTACTGTATACATTTTCTCCCGGGCATGGCCAATGCCCCTGAGTTGCCAGAGTCAACGTTTGTGACTCGTCAGCCGTGCTTGTTCGCATTTGTTCCACAACAAAGTAAGAGTTTATTGTGGAATGAGGGTCATGAACGAGGGATTATTGGCTCGGTTCCCCTCTCTAACATAATACTGTACCTGGGAATAGAGCCAAGGAAGGAGGGTTTTTCATGGGACAACCCTGGGGTAGATCCTGCCAATCCCTTTTACAAATTAATTCCTGTCCCCTCTTTCTCTGCCCTATTTCTTCCTTTCTGGGTTTACAGGAGACGAAAGAAAAGGGCAATCGATACGACCTTGCCCTATCGGCGCAGATCAGGACTGGCCTTGGACGGGAGTGCTCATTTTAGTTAGGGAACTCTCTCGTCTGGTTCTGCAAGACTGTATGAATAATTCATGCATTTAATATTGCATTAATCCTTAAAGTCTTAGCCATCGATCGTTCCGAAAGTCACGGGTCGTACATGCTCAGTTTCCATCCCCGGAGGCAATGATGAAATTTATTTCCGCTTCGTCATGAAAGGGATGAAGAATTCGCAGATTCTTTGAATAATTCATGCAGTTAACAAAGATATCACGTCAAGGGAACGACAAGGAAATGACAGGAACATGGGGACCAATTATTGGAGATGGAGTGGCTGGGACCGAATCCTGCGTGAAGTTATGCGATCGAGGTGGCTTGTAATGAGACGGAAACAGGTCTACCTGTATAGTTCATTCTCGGATGGGATTGTAGTATCCTGTGGCTTCTACAGGCCAAAAAGCTGCAATCATTCTGAGTTCGTGTTTGTGTTTAACTTTTTTTAAATTTCGTCTCTTTCTGTAAATAAAGTAAAACGTTTCACCCGTCTTCTCTGACTTCAGAGATGTCGCAACGGTCTGTTTCTTTTTAAATAGAAATAACGATAACTATTATCGGATTGTTCAGACGATCGAAGCGGATCTATCAAAACTTAGGAATGCCGATTTCTTCATTTTTGGGTTGCTGCTCGATTGGATGAAAACCCAAGACCCGTCCTTCTTCCATTTTGTTGGATTGTGTATTTGTAGAGAAGAGTTGGCTCTTTATTGGGGTGCCTCAATTAGCATCCAGTTCCTGTGTTGATTGTTTTAATTGAATCCTCAAAACATGTTGGTGGGGCAAGGAAACCCAGAAATCGCAATATATATATATTTACTAATTGCGAAATGACTAACTTTTTTCCAAGGAGGAGGAAGGATTATATGCCATTTCTGTATTTTACTATTTTTGTCGCTGATATGGGTTGCGGATAGTTGGTAATGTGATAGTGCGTGTTTCCTATCATTACCCGGACTTTCCTTGGCATTGATGGGTATTTACTGGTATGTATTCGTAGTATCTTTGAAGGCATGTCATCGTCCTGCGTGTCTCCATTTATAAACACAGTGACACGTGCCGGTGCCCTGAGTCTGTTTGTCTCTCCCTGAATCGCGCATGGCTAGCATCGACTTAATGGTTCTCCATAATTCACCCGACTGGAAGTAACGACGAGGGCTTTCCCCCTTAACATGCTGGTTAATGTAGGATCAATACGCAATATCGCCTTTCTATGGGAGTTTCTCGAGTCGACTTTTGTAAATTCGCTTTTACGTTGCTGTTTAACTTCCATGATGAGTCGACTTCGAGGCATTTCTTTGGAATGTGCGCAGTCGAGGTCAGCTGACCTATGAAAATAGCAAGGTCTGCCTTTACCGTGTACAGGGTGCTACGAGACCTTTTCAGTTGCAGAACTGTGTGATAGGGATGAAAAACAGGCACTATTCTGAATTTAGTATTCAGTTCTACATTTACAGGCTAAATCTCCGTGATGTGTTCCCATTGCCGGCCTGGGAAACGGCTTGAAGGTGATGCATTCAGCAAATTCAGGTGCATCAGATTGTATCAGATTCGAGAATTCAGAGGACTGTTAGAACATGTTTCATGAGGTGATCGCTGGAAAACTGCCAGGAGTTCCATGGATTATCAGATCTTCGACTTGGTATTCCTACATGAAACCCAGGTTTCCACAGACGTTGAAGTGAGGAGAATTCCCAGGGCATTCTGCATCACTGGAGAAATTGATGTTGCTTGTCAGAAGCCGCTGAACGGCGAGGGCCATGGAACAAGAGACCTGGTCATGGAGAAGTTTCATCCAGTCAATGTTCAAGACTTTTCAGGCTCCTGCAGAAAGGGGATAACATTTCCAACATAAACAACATGCCAGAAATATTGTGCTGACGGCTCTTCTCACCTTCGAGCCGCCAGCTGTGCTGAGCGCATTCGATACTGAGGTTTAGACCGTACATTTAGAATGGGATACATAATTCAGGAATGAAGCCTGTTTTGCTTCATCGCCGCACAGTTCTGCTACTGTGGAGGTCTGATGTTTTGTAGCACCAGGAATTAAATGCGCGTGCTTCGACGGCTAAGTCGGCTCAGCGTGTTCCATGCACTATCGGGATAAAACACTTCAGGTTGTTGGCTGACACCCTTGAAAACCCGTCTTCGTCATTCGAGTTGACTTTAGATAAGTCGACTTTGCTAAAGAGCTTTAAGCAAACCTCCATGGAATGCGGTGCAAGTCGTATTTCCTCGTTGAGCATTCTCTCCGAAGAGGCGCCTCATGAACTCTTATTGAAATTGTATTTTCCCTCAAGGACGGCCCAGGCGCTCTCTGCGCCTCAAGTAGCCTATGTTTTGAAGTTGCACTTAAGATGCAATCTCCATCCATGTTGATTGCGCCTTTATGTTGGTCTCCTCAAGGTAAAGACGAATGATAAGGCTTAATTGATCTCCTTTTCTTTTGTCCTTGAATCATGGGTGTGATCGCACCCGGATCCATGCCTGTCCTATCTCCTATCTTTTCCCTCTATTGGGAAAAGCTGTCCCTCTGGGACCGGCTCATCATGGCCGAAGTGAGTGGCAAGAAAAACTCCGTGCCAGACGATCCGGGAGGGTGTCGGTGTAATGAACACTCTCCACTCCGTTGAAGCCGGAAGAGAGAAAAAAAAGATGAAATGAGCCCTAGCGTTTAATTACTTCATTACATGAGCTATCTCCTTTCTAACGCTCATCTCGTTTCCTCCTATTTCGTCTCTGACGTCATTCCGAGGGATGGCAGACCAAACCATGCAAAGGGGTGAAAGTTGCGTTCTAGGTGCTGCATGGGAGCGAAGTTTTCCCTCTTGCTACCGTTATCGATCGACAAATGGAAGTTTCTCTTTTTTTTCTCAAGACGATGATCGTGGTCTCTTCCTTAGAATCCATCCAATCAAGGTGGAATGGGTCTGCTTTCCCCCTCTTGGGAGCAGCTGTTGGAAGAAAAATGACTTAGCTCACTTCCATGTTCTTCATTTTGACTGCGCCATTCCATTTATTCTTGGAGCGAGGAGGAAAGCGAAATCCTCCTCCTTCCTTTCGTCCTTGGGAGTCAATTTGGGAAAATCCTCTTCCGTCGGAATTTTCGGTCGGATGGGTTACGGAGGACATTTCTCTTTCCGCGTTTTTTTTTCCCCCAGCATATTTATGAGGAGCACCCCAAAAGTTGTGTCAGTTCATGTGTTCTAACCTCTTCCTCTTTTTTATTTTAAATACCTTAGATCAGAGGTGCTCTACTCAAAAGACTGTGAGAGCCATTTGCGATTTTTACTCACCTACCGCGAACCGCAGTCTGACTGACCATGGCTGTGGTCAACAAGGGAGACGCCATTGTAGCAGTTACAGCGCCACCAGTCATGGCAGGACACCAGCAAGGGCCTCGCGGGCCGTATGTTGTGCACCCCTGGCTTTGATAGATGTGCCTTTAAGCAGAAATAAGACTGGACTACTTGGGTAGTTTAGACAGTGCAGAAAGAACAAATTTTTATATTGTGTTTCTGGCAATATTGCCACAAATGAGATTTCCTGACCTAACCAGGCGAGATAAGAGGGTCATAATTTTATATTACCTAAAGGAAGATCTGAGAGGCCGCGGCAGTTAGATGCTGAACTGGAAGGTGTTTTGGTAGCCCAAGCGCCTTGTCAGTACTGTAATGAGTAATGTAGTAAATAAACACAGAAGAGGAGACAGACGCTCGATGATGACCCCAAGGCATCGCCTGATGAGGCATTGACTGCTCAGTGCCTCATCAGGCGACGCCACATATTTTGTCAGATTTTCGGGTTCAGGAGACATTGCAGAGATTTTCGCCATACTGATGGACGTGAAACAAGACAGATGCGTGCACAGTGGGTTCCAGATGGATTGGATGATAAACGGATCATCAGAATGAGCTACCAATTCATGTTCAGAAGTTTGAGGAAAGAAAGTCAAGGCATGTGACAGGCATTACAGGTGACGAAAGCCTGCTTTATCATCTTGAATTCCTCGTGAAACGCCAGGCTCAGATGCGGATCCTTAAAGAACTCTGGAAGTCAGGGGGGAAAATCCCTAAGAGGAGATTTGATTCCATGAAAGAGTTCCAAGAAGCGTTGAATGATGCTTTCATATGCTTTCCGTTAGGAAAACTTCCCTAAAAGGTTCCGTGATTTGCTCAGAAAGATGAAACTTTTCAAGTGAAGAGCGAGTGGGCCTCTTTCAAGAAGATCGAGAACATGGCTTTCATTGAATGAGTGAAATATGTTAATTATAAAACTTTTGGTGTCTTGTATCGCCTCTGTAAAAGAAAGAAAATTTTTGTCTCCATCGTCCATTTCCCATCTGAGTTGTTTCATCTTAGTTGCCCTTCAGATCCATTCTAATGGATGCATAGGGGGAAAAAGGACTTGTAATTGCACTTTTTCCGGAATTGAACGGTTTATGAGCAGCGGAATACTTTTTTTTGGGTAAGTTCGAGGACACGTCAGAGTTTCCTTTAACACTGCTGTCTTCACTCTGTTTTGAGGTTTAGGGCCCATAAAATCTGGAAAAACCATAATCAGAATATTGCTAAGGCTAATGAAAGACTGTTGCCCTATTTAGAACGATACGGAAGCTTTTTTCCGATACACCAGTATTTGTTTTTTTTACGATTTCGATAAATCGTTATTGAAGGAACGCCATAGTTTGGGAGCGAAACTTTAATCTGAGTCTAAGAATGCCGGTTCTTCTGGGCGAAAAATCCATTAAAAATCATGGCAATATGGTTCGTGGAAAGACGTGAGATTATGGAATTCGTAAATTATAAGTTGGATATCCTGAATTGAAGTAGCCAGTTTTCCTATCATTCACCACTGATGGTGAATATTTTGACTTATTCATGCGTATTATCAGAGAAAAAAGTGTCAGAAATCCAATATCAGCTAATATGAACCGATATGTTTCGATATGTTACCGTAATATTCCTATTGGAACGCGGGGGCTCACACAGTTTGTTTATACAAGTGGCATTATGTTAGACGTATTCAGACCTCTCAGCTCTCGCCCCATTACTGTGCACTGCTGACAATTTTCTATTTCGTTTTTATTAGCTTTCCTTGACATAACATGAAGGAGAGGGAAGTCTTTATTATTGATCCCCTCCAAGACTTGGCCCAGCATTAATACGAGACAAGTCCTTAGGCCAACATTAGTCCTTATCGTAATATCTTGAGAAGGTCGCGACGATGTTATCCCTTCCCTTCATTGGAACGTGTTGACTCCCCGCATCATCAGAAGTCCATTAATGATCAAGAAAATTATGGGAAACCTTCCAGTCATATCGGAACATTATCGGATGCGATAGCTTCCCATAATGTATTATTCACAGTACATACACTATGTTGAAAAAAAGAAACGTGCCAATTAGTTCTAGATAACAAGGAAAGTATATTTTATTGGGTCGGCCCAATTTTTAGAACGCTGAATGTGGATAGATAATGGAAGCTTTTTGCCGAATTGGAAAGATATCCATGATTTGGATCACAGCTTGTGCTCAAAATGGCTCCCGCGCTCTTGGGCGTAAACATGCAGCCGCTGTCGTCATGCCGAAATTGCTTCACTGATGATGCTCTGCTCGATTTTGGCCACAATTTTGACTGTTCGCTGTTCTTATCATGATCCGTCTGCATGTCAAATTAATTAAATTCTGAGAGGTTGAGCACAGACCGTTGGAATACTTACGGTGGAATGATTCACTTGTAAATTGCGTAACATAGCATTGTCTGGCCCAGGAAAGGGTACTGACAAAAAACCTCATCCTCATTGCAACATCTCGTAGTCTTCCGATTTCGATCGCTTATCTAATTTATTTTGGTAGGTCGCATATATGACGCTACCTCTCTCCAAAATAAAACGATTTAATTAAAATCATCCTTTATATGGAAAACTGCTCTCATACGTGGGTATGCGACTGAAATACCTGGAGTAGTGCAGGTATTGCCTCTTCACTTCTCCCTGACGCATCCCTATCATTGATCTTCGTTTTCCGTTTTTGTCCCTTACCCTTCTTTGACCTTGAGTGAATGCGTGGATGCGAGAGGAGAAAGAGTGATCGCAGCAGTAGAGGAATGCATTGCGCGTCCTCACCAGAGCTCTAGAGAGCTGACGAAGAAAAATCCCCTCGGGGACCTCCGCGACTCGGGCTTTCACTTCCATCTCCCTTTCGTAGACTCACTCGTCCCAATATTCTGAGTTCTCACCGGGAAAGCCTGGACCTGCAATTCCTTCCGTGTCTTTCAGTCCTGAATGACACAGGATGGTTGGAGCCATGACGACCTATGTTGTACCAAAGGGTTCTGAACGAGCAGTTTCCATTTTCTTCGAGGCATAGGACATGCTTCCACGCCGTACAACGACGAGTCGCTATGAATGAAAGATGGAGGGATTCCCTTAACATGGGGAGTAAATAAAGAGTATTTAGGGGTATTTAGGAAGGTCCAGGCGGCTCAGATGAGATGAATGAAGCCAAGAAAGGGACGAGGGATCCATCCCATCTCTTCTGTCCTTTCCTTCCTTTTCCTTTCTCTCCCATCTCCCATTACTACATCCATCCCATGCCAGGATAAAGATCTTTCGACTTTTGTCCTCGAGTCGCTCTCTCCTCTCTTAGCACGACGAACCAGCAACTGCTGTATATTCAGCACAGACATAGAAGCCTTCATCCATTCGTTCCCTTTCCAGCCCTAAAATTCAATAAGGTCTTGGTCAAAATTCAATAAGATCCGCTTGCAATTTTTCCTTCTCTATTCTGTTGCCTGGTTCTCTCTCTTTCTCATATTTTTGTATTGGGCTTACTCCATGAGAGCTGGAGAGATAGAATCATTTTTTCGATGCTCTAGTATCAGCTTTCCCGCACGTGGGTAAAGCCGATCTCGTGCGGAAAAGTTCGCTCTATATCCCAGAACTTCCGGACCTTCAATATTCTTAAGGGGATTTCTATGATACTTATCATGCTACTCTCAGTTGAATTGACTCTACGATTGAGTTGCCGATGAATGATGATGCGGAAGACCTTGAAACGTTGAAAGGGATTTTCCGGGAATCGATCGCTCAGCTTGTCATAACAGGAGTATCTGTAGTTGGATCGTGAATCAAGAGAGGAAAGGGTAAGCCCTCGCCTCACCCACGAGGAATTCAGGAGGTGCCCTTCTCGAGCTTGGAAACTGGTGAAATTGACGAAGTTTGAACAGCACTAGGCACATTCTCATAATCTATACTGGAAACTTGATCTGTGAAGGTCAAACAGTGTTTCCTCCTCTACTGCAATTTCGCGCACGTGGCGAAGTGGCTATGGGAAACGGTGAAACATTGAACATTTCCTTCTCGTTTGGACACAAATTCAGATTGTTTTGCGATCTCTAAAGGAGACAGAATGTCTTTCAAGATGACGGCGTTCTCGACAATCCCTTCGCTGGTTTTCGAGGAATAGGCGGGTTCATGGAAATACGGACGCTGCAGTTCACTAGTCCATTTGAAGTCATGAGCCAAATGGCCCAGTTTGATGGCGTCAGGCGAAACTTCGATATTAGATGACATTAGATGACGTCAAGCTCGACTCTTTCCCTTTCGTAGATGTTGAAGGAACTATTCGAGGAATGAGAGGAAATCTGTATGGATGGTGAGAGATGGATTTGAAGGAAAGCGAGCCTCATGCCCTCCTGGATCTCTGCTCTCAACTGCAGAGTGGCCGACATTGCGATCCCATCGTCTGCCAGGCCAAGATCAACAAATACGTGAGTCACGTGTGGCTTTATTTCTTTTTTCTTTCACTCCCCGTTTTCCCTCCTCTCGTCTCAGTCTCTTGGCGTCCTCAATCTGTTTCTCTCCTTTTTCTGTCGTTTTCTCCCTATTTTTTTTAAAAAGTATATTCCACATCTCGCTGAAAAATTTTTACAAATATTTTATACGGTAGGAGAAAATAATTGTAAAAATTCCGGTCCGTATTTTCTACGAACCATGCGATGTATTCTTGGAATGATGCTTTGAATGTGATCTGACAAGTGGATTTGTCCTGACAAGAATTTTGATTTAAATTCTTGGTAAAAATGCCCCTTGTCAAGAATGTCATTGCCAGGACGACTTTCAATCATGGACATCGACCTTGACGATAGTGAGTTTTGTCTCTCGAAGGAGTTTCAAAATTTCCTTCTCCACGAACCCGATGCCCTGAGATTGCTTGTTCAAATTGAAGGCGGATTTAGGGCGATATCATTTCCGTGCATCTTGTATGGATAGATGCCAAGGAATGCATATAAATGGATTCTTGATCATGCAGTAGATTCTGTCTCAGAGTTTCCGGAACCGTCCCATAGAAATTCTACAGGAGAGCACTCAAGGATCAAGGAAAGGAAATATGGTCATTCTATCGTACAGATGAATGTTTGTTGTTCCTACTACCCTTTCTCCATACAACTTTCCGGTCGCATGACGCACATTCATGTCCATTCGTGCACATGAACTCTATATTAGCTAAGATACGAAGGATTTTTTCCCCTTCAAATGTTTCACTCGGTTTTTGTGCTCTTCATAACTAGCGACTGTTATTCTGGCATTTTTCTGCATCACTACTTATTAAGCATGTGCACGCGATTATAAGATGAAAAGTGAAAATCTCATGAGAATAGGACTTCTGTTGGTTCGTGACGCGTCAAGGCATCATCGCAGAGTCCTGTCAGGCAATACCTTGGCCAAAGGCATGTCTTCCTTCTCTTTCCTTCCATGAGCGTAACCTCGCACGATCCAATGCGGTTTTGCACGCGATTGTTTCGGCGATGTAGATCCTCGTTCATTCCTCGCAGTCGTGGGCCTCCTGAGAGAACCCAGCTCCCAGTATCGATTCAGCCCTAAGAGGCCCCCTAAACTGATGCTGATGAATCCAGACAGAGTGGGATGGAAGCCAGGCTGTATGGAATAATGACGAGATTGAAGACATCGAGTCGAGTCCCGAATCGACGTCATCGCAGAAAGAGAACCTCAGTGAGAGGGGTATTCCCGTGAATACTCCATGTCGAGAAGGGCCTGGTGAATGGAGATCCAATTTCCCGTTCTTATTTCACTTTTCATCACGAGAGGGGAGCGGAGAGGATTTTTTTTCCTTCCCTCCCCACCCCATCTCCTTCCCCCAATATTGATGTCTGTGTTAAGGGGATTCCTTCGACCTCCCTCGAGTCTGCCCTCATTGCTGAGGGGATTTTTGAGCTCTGAGCGCATTGAATCTCTCGGCCATTCCCAGGGAATCTAATCAAGCAGCTCAGCTTTCCTCTTTTCTCCCTGCATGGTGACTGGAAAGACCTTCGTTTTCCCCTGCGATCTCCATAAGGAGGACCCTCATCCGTCTTTTTCCTCCTCTGTCATGCCAAATGATGATAGTATGATGGATGTACCGGCGTGCCTGATATATTCTGCGTTACCTCTTTCTCGAGGATTTTGCAGTGAGAAGAGGTAGATCTTATTCTTTCGATCGTTCCTCCGAGAAAGGCACAAGTTGCCCTGCCTCCCCATCTGCTCCAAACGGGCTGTAGCACGAAATGAGGGATATAACGACCATGGAGCGTTTGCCCCCCAACTCGCCTCCGCAGGATCATTTAGCCTCATCACTGTCGTCACATCTTGGTCTGGCTTATATGGGTTTTATACGGGTCGAAAATGAGATCCAAGGGTGGGGTGTGAGAGAGGGAACTAATTGGGCCTGACCTTCTGTGTTGAGCCAGGGCAAATATTTAACGCTAGAGCAAGGATATTGCCTGCAGAATCCCTTTGTAATTCCACCCCATACCCAACTGCTCTGGTTCGTCTGGCTCACTGAGCCAAATATATCCACCTGCCTAATGAACCCAAAGTTTCCTATCGTCTGGCGAAAGGCCCTAATGGAAGGGAGAAAAGAAGAAAATGTGGGATGCCTCCTGAATGCATCCTCTCCCTTCGTCTAGGCGTTTCCGGGATTTTGGGAACAGAGTACCTTTGTAGTAAGAGAAGAAACAGCAATGTAATGCCCCATTCAAGCATCGGCTTATCTGTATACAGTCACACTACGCACATTGTTCCCTCTTGCTTGATATAGTCTAATCGTCAATGCTGTTCTCGTTAATGAAGTTTTTCTGCTTCGTCTCGCCTTTCTGTGTGTCCTTTTGTGGTTGTGGCTGTGTTTGTTTAGAAGAGTAACCTCTTCCGTCGTCTGTCTTTCCCTCTCTAACAGCTGAGTCGTGTGACCTCCTGCAAGACTGCCTTCTTGTTCCTCGTCTCAGAGGAAGGACTGGAACTCAGTTGTGGAGTGGTCGGGGACAAACCCCTCGCCAGTGATGTCAAGATTCCTGTGAGCCTTGCTTCTTCCTCATCCCGTTGCGTGTTCCCACAATGAGAGATTTAGGTCGGGAAGGAAGGTGGGAAATGAACGAGGGAGAGGGTTTCTTGTAGGTCTCAAAGACGAGCAACAGCCTGGGGAGCGCGGTGTTGGAGAACCAGGTTATCAGCTTCCTGGAACTAAATCCAGCACACAGACAGGCCGTGCTGAATCTCCTCGGATTCCCAATCCATTCCTTCCTATGTGTTCCCATCTCCTGCCCCGACAAGGTGAGACAGGTTCTATTAGGTTGACTAACGTAGTTTTCAGTTGTAGACTGTCACATGCATTTACGTTGGAGAAAGTGACGAGAAGTCAGTGCTGTTTGCGATGAGACGTTACGAAGAGCTCCCTGCCTTGACAAATATCTAATCAGGGCCTACATTCGTGCAAAAAGAAACCGCAATCTTATCAAGTCTTACAATTCATGACGTGCAAGAAAGAGCATGGACGTGGTTGTCTCCAAGGAGAGGAAACTGTTTCTGAGGGGACATTAAGAGAGTAATGAGCCTGAGCATGCATTCCCACTTGGGTTCTATTCACGTCCAAGTTCTGCTCTGGGGATAGCCGTAGCATTTCATGTTAGTATTCGTTGCAAAATAAGCAGAAGGTAAGCTCAAGGTCCTCTTCTCAATAACCCTCGTATATACATCATCACGCGACAGTCAATATTTATTCCTCATTCTTTGTTCATGATTGCGTATGCGTGGTTCGATTGAGAAACCAGAATATCCTATAGGCTCCAGGGCTAACGTAGACGACCAAATCTGAGCTATTATTCCGTATTCAATTATGAATACATGACTGCTGATCATAATCTGTTGGAAGCCTCTGGGTTTTTTTTGTCATTGACATGTATGAAATGTTCTATGAGGGACAACCTAGTTTCAAGCTAAGTTTTTGCTCTTATGCCTTCCAGAAGCCATATTCGAAATAAGGACACGTCACAGAATTGCATGATGCCAGGGGTCGGGTTTCGAGAGCTCGGGGGTCTTGAGAGAATTAACATCTTTGGATTTTGGCTGCATGGTGAATTACGCAATGCTGAATGATGCAGCAAAAAAGCATGTTCTCAACTACCAACATACATCTGTTTCGACCAACGGTTCTCAAACTTTTTGGGTCCACGACCCCGTTTCACGGAAGCCAAAAGCTTGCGACCCCCAATTTTCAGGCTGAAGAGAAATCCAGTACATGGTATTGAACAACTTAATGGGATAAGCATCCTGAGCTGCTCATTAAAGTGAAATGAAACGCAATGTAACTCTCCTTTAAATTTATTTTTAATCGTAAAAAGTATTGAAAACATCATTAATCAGCGCTACTCATTATTCAGTGTGATGGGTGTGCCTGCTTTGCAGAGAAAATGCGATCCTAACGAGGCACAATGCTCTCATTCTCATCCGCAGGTCACCTTCAACTGTGATTCGGTTGCTATATTTGCTTTTGATGACCATCAAAGAAGAAAATGCAGATTCACAAAGGCATGTTGATGCAATAGGTACCCCGAAATTTCACCCCTAGGATACAAAATCACTGTTATTAATGACCGGCAATAGTCTCGGGCTTTCTCGCTTAGAGGTTAGTGCTGCCGGATCCACAATCACATAACTCACACCCACACACTTCACCTCTGACGACAGCTTTGCCTTTACTCACCCCCTCCCTCAGGGGTGATTATGGGCAAAGCTATCGGCAGAGATGCTATTAGAGCAGCAGTGGCTCTACTTTCACCTGTTATTCTACTATGCCCCTAATGACCTGCTTACTGGGTTATTCCTCAATTGGAGTTTCTTTTCGCCGTAATAGGAAGAAATTCCTCGGAAATTTTTCTCCCGGAAAACTTGGTTCGATTGGCTTCATGAAATATGTGAAGAAAAAGAGATTTCTTAATTATCTTCAATCACACTGGGACCCCTTTGCGACCCCCCTTAGACCCTTTCGCGATCCCCCGGGGGGTCGTGACCCACAGTTTGAGAACCGCTAGTTTAGACTATATCGTGTTGTATGGAAGATGTGGAATTCACTCATACTTGAAGGACCTGTCTTCATGCGGTAGAAACGACCGCATTTCAGAATGCTTGCTCACAAAGCATGCAAAGGATGGAACGTTCTGTGCATTCGTCTCTTCCCTTTATATCTAGGTAATCGTTAAGCTTTAGAGGCAAAAAGTTAAATCTAATGATGTCTGAGTCCTTGCTAAGGGGAAGAAGGAAAGGAAAAGTTTTTCATGCCTGCTTGGCGGAAGCAGCACTTTAGAGATAAATTATTTAGAAGTACAGTGCGACTCAGCCTCTTCCACTCCAGATGCAGGAATATTGGACAAGGGCGGTGGAACAGGGGGAACAGGGCGGGGCCAAGAGGGCCCATCCCCCCCCCCCCCAATTTTCCAACGTGATGAATTTGGCCCCATGATAATTCCCAGTGAAGGGATCAATACACTCTTGGGTTTTGTGGGATGCACTATTTGGAGGGCCTCAGCGTTTCCTTATCTTCTTCCATAAAGGGGAAAATGGTTGAATGCGCAGATAAATTCGTTATCATATAATTGAAGACTTCAGACAAGCTCTACCATCTCAAAACATCATCGAAGAAATAGGAGATGAATACAAGAGGAAAAAGGGAGAGAGAGTTCTTGGTAGGAAAATGTTCAAACATCAGGTCTGGCAGGAATAAGCAAAAACTCTAGGAATAAAAATGTAATGAATGAGATGAAAATTTATTCCCTAATGATCCTTTTTTAATTTTTACTTGAAGAGTAGAACATCTGAACTAATGAAGTAATAGATGTGCATTTGTAGCTGTGAGTATGCCAGCTTTAGAATACCTAACTAGCTTTTCTCAAGGTAAGCCTATTTACAGGTGTAAAATGTAGAACGACTGCTCTCAATGACTATTGCATTCTTCAATTATCCAACAAGTAAATAATCCTTGTCTCTCTTTCTTAGAGCCTACTTACTTCAGGCTTTTGTAGCTTGGGATAATGCTACCTTATTGTGGAAAATGGACCTTGGATTCTTCAGTCCTTATATACCTTTCCAAAAGTTAAAAACAAAAACGAACGGTGCAAGTCAAGAAAGGAGAAGGCGTTGTCCGAACAGATCCCTCGCCTCAAGGTTGTCTGGCCCTTCTTTGCTGCCTTCTCATACATTCCCTATGAGCCTATGTTTCAATTCCCTTCTTGCTCGGACACGAATTCAATCAGAGAAGGAGAAAGACTTGGGTCGCTCTGCCACGAATGAGACTCAGAATTCTCATTCCCAAATTTTCCAGTTTCTGTTTCCCAGCCGGGGATACCCCATCGTTCAGGTTTTATTTTGGAAAGGTATATTAAATCCTCGTTGCAATTCAAATGCCCGGAACTTTATATCAAGATTCTCCTTTCAGAAGCTTTCTCTGTAGAATTAATAGGTATAATCAGTCTTGAGGATGAAAACAGAATGAATGGGTGGAGGTATGCAGCCAAAGATACTAGCTTGAAAAGACCAAGAGGCAGTTAAATCCACGAGAATCCACGCCTTTTTCTGTTGCAAAAAGGAAGAGGTCAGGTGGGATAGCACATCTCCTGGGAAATAAGGATATGCAAGATCCATTATGGAGATGTTGCATAATTTACCTGGAACAAGGCAGGGAAAGCTTGCATGATTCAGGCCCAGTGACCATAACAAATGAGAGGGGGGAATCTCCGCAGTCCTCAGAGTGATCTCTCCCCAGGAGAGGTCAGGTTATTGGATTTGGATTGGAAGGTCCAGAGAGAAAGAGGGAGACCCTGCCTCCCATCACCCAGTTCATTGTGTCCCAGGAGAGGTTCTTTCTTTCTTTCTCCCTCTTTCTCCTGCAAAAGGAATAATATTATGGACGAGAATGACCTTGGTTCCCATTGAGGTTCTCACCATTGACGCCATTCTATTTCCAGGTAGAGTTTTGTAGCATGAGGCCCGCATATCTGGTATTAATATAAACATTCGATCTGCTTTGGCATTGAGCGTGCAGCATTGAAACTATGTACCTTCACTCTGTAATAAACAACGTCCAAAAGAAATGGAACCGGCAGTGAAATAAAAATGCTTCCGTCAGTGTAAATCAACAAAATAATGTTAAACGATGTCTATACCATATATGTATGCACCATTCACATGTATTACCATTTGCTCGTCTATTTAAAGTGTGCTATCAGGTACTATAGTTATTGTGACCGACGGCGACCGACGCTCGTCCCGTATTCGCCGCCAGGATCACTTTGCCGAGGCTAATTCCATCAGTATTTTGCTGTGCAAGATTGGGATCGGACTCCGTGATCTTTACGGAGGAGGGCCGCTTCTTCTCGAGGGAGAACAATTGAGGCCGGGTTCGAAGGCGGTCAAATGGGTCCATTTCCTCGCATGCTAGGAATAAACTCTCAGATTTAAAGGAAGGGGAATGATGATAAGATGTCATAGAGCAGTAATATTGAAGGAATGGAAACAAGAAAATGCTCACACGCGTCCCTGGTCTGCAAAAAGCCCATATCTTAATTGGACCGAGCATCTCTGGGATGGCCTTCGACCGTCGACGGCATGGACCACCCTGTTTCCATCAAGGCCGAACTGGCAGCCCTTCTTCAGCGTCTCTGAGATAAAACACCTGCAGACCTGCCAGAAGTTGGTGAAAGGCATGCCACGTTGGGCTCTGGCGGTATTCAAGTAAAAGTAGAAGCACCTCCCTCAGAAGGAAAGATTCGGGTCCGTGCTAATAACTTGTATATTTGTTTAATTCGATGGTTGACGTTATTTGCGCAACTCATTCGAAATTCCGACAGAGATGTCAATAAATGGGAAGGCGGTTGGTAGAAACATTGCTGTACCCCTTCATTTCATTCTTTTGCATTTCCTCGTGAAAGATTAAGCTGAACCTCTATTTGGCTGTCGTGTAACTATCAAGGTACGACTGTTGGGAAGAGCTATTACCATGAAGACGACTTGGAAACCATGTTTTGCTCGTGCTCCATGCTTTTCTATGGGTTCTACCGGCGAGCGGTTAAATAGACGTTCCTCCGCTCAGGAAGAGATGTCGCTGCATGGTCTTCACTTATCGCTATGTGCCTTCGCAATTGAAGATTGACGCAATTACTAGATATCTCTCGAGCACCGTTGACAACTGCGCTAGAGATGGGGGGGAGGGATTGGTGAGAGAAACTCAATCCAAAAACACTTTTGGTAACTTGGTATATCAGTTAAAATTTGCCAAACTCCTAATAGTATGTCTTTTTTTGGCGGAATAGTAACGGAAGTTATATAATTGCGGGTCACACTTCCCAATTAACAATTTGGTTCCTCTCTTTTTCGTAATAATGAACTCCATTATGCCTATTTGCGACTTGTAACAAGACAATATCTTTTTTTTGCGGTCTTCGGTCGTTGGTTTCCTCTAGCCTAGTAGGCATTCGGTTATGTCGCCGATTTATCAGACGAAAGCTAGGTTGTGAAAGACTTCGAAACTGCGAAACTATTGGAAGAGCTATTTTTTCGCCATGAATCCTGCAAGGAAAATTTTTTTTTTTCATGTAGGATTCTTCTGTAAATAATAAATAATCTGAACTTGAATGAGGAAGAGACAAATGAGCACCATGCATCACAGAAAGGAGTTCAATGCTCTTTTGCTTGTCAGTGCCACATGAGGCACGCTGTTTAGAGTAGGAGGGGATTTTTTTTTTCAGGTCATAGAGGTCGAGGATATCCGATCTGAACCTCGAGAAACAGCTCTTACTTAAATGGGATGATGACTTCGTGCAATAATAAACCGTTTTTAACGTAACCCTGAGCTGTTTCGTTGCCAGGTTAAAAAATTGTTACTGTTACTTTTCTCAGTTACTTTCTGTCAACTAACTTTTATTGGTAACTACTAAATAGTGTGTTCAAAAATTACTGCAACCCATGGCAGAAGTAGAGAATGTTGTTTCAGTTTCATGTCATCGAGAAAATTTAACATCGCAAAAAAACAAGTTAAAGGAGATGTTGAAAGTGTTGTCCTTGGATATTTTGACATATCTGAGCGCGCCGTATCATGTTGTTGAACGCACGAATCAGCATAGCATTGTTTCAACAGAATGTTGAATATTCTGCTGTAATTGTGCAAGATTGTGAGGATGGGTTGCATACACTGAATTCTTTAGATGGGACCACAAGAAAAAATTCGGTGGAGTGAGGTCTGAGGTCTGGTGACCTGAGTGGCCATGGGTTGCGGTAGTTTTTTAACTCATTGCATTTTAGTCTTATACTTGCAACTGTAACTGTTATTTTTGGTAGTAAGTTGCCTATCACTGATTGAATGACAACCAAGGTATGCTTTCAGAGATGGGTACTCATTAAGCACTTGTATTACCTTCTGTGTTTCTCGCTGAATTAGTCTTTTTTAGTCTTATACTTTAGGCCCTTCAGTGGCACTGGAGATGAGAGGAGTGCTTCTAAGATTTCTTTGGACTGTGAAAGTTAATGTTATGGATGATATGAGATGAGTGTGGTCTCATTGCCAGGCTCTTTGCAGAACAACCATGTCCACGCCCTGTCAGAGTGTCATCTGCCTGTGAGAAAAGAAGGGAATGTTTACTTTTCCCTTCACCCATGATACTCCTTTTACTTCTCTGTTTGTCTTCTGCTAGTGATGCTCTTTCCCTGCTCTTCCCCTCTTCTCTTTCTGATAGTAGCAGCCTCTCCTTTCAATCAACAATATGCTTCTCTTCCATGCCCTTTTCCTTGAAAACAATGTTTAGCTCAAGGCTTTTTTTTTGGCACCTGTGCTTTTATTTTTATTTTTTATTTTTCAGAATGAATCTGGAGCACCAGTGTCCCTGTTGGCTTGTTTGGCACAGAAGGCTGGAAGACCTTCCTTCACATCAAGAGATGCTGCATTGGTCAGGGAATGCTTCCGGGTTGTTCTAGGACCTCTCATGGCAGCTTTGGCATGTTCAGAAGAAAGGAGACTGAGGAAGCAGTGTCAGGTGAGTAATTTCACTGTCCTCATTTCACCAGAATTCTTCATCAACTCATCTCATATTGGCAACAGATTCAGTCCATGTTAGAACATCTCTGAAGCTGCTGCAACTGTCAAGTCAGTTGTCATGACTTGGTTTCTTATCTTTCCAGAGTCTGCTAACTGTGGCTAGGAATCTCTTCAAGCATCTCAGTGAGTTGTTCTTCGTTGCAAATTTTTTAGATTAGCCCCTATCTACATCAGTTCATGCTATAATATGGTCTACATTTCAGATGATGTGACTACATTATTGAGGGAGATCATGTATGAGGCTAAGAATCTCACCACTGCCGAGAGGTGCTCCCTGTTCCTCATGGATGAGACCAGGCAAGAATTGGTGGCTAAGGTTTTTGATGGACCAGAGGTGAGACAGAAACAAGCTCATTCTCACCATATATTTTATTCTGAGTTATGACACATAGGACTTCGCAATCAGTTGTTCCATGGAATGTGTCTGTGTGGTTCTTGACCCAGAATGCATTATCTGAGGTGAGGCTCCCTATCTCCAAGGGGATTGTTGGTTATGTGGCCCGGACAGGAGAACTGCTAAACATCAAAGATGCTTATGCACATCCCCTCTTTTACAAGGGCATGGATGAGGCAACAGGGTTCCATACCAAGTGAGGCAGCTTAAATTCCCTTCCTCTCTTCTGTCTGTGTATTTTTCTCGGTGCCTTCTTTGATGAACACATCAACACTCCCTATGGCACAGGAACATACTCTGCTTCCCGATCAAAGATGAGGCTCAAGTCATTGGTGTGGCTGAACTGTGCAATAAGGTGAATGGGATCTGCTTCACAAAATTTGACGAAGAGATTGCCACTGCATTCAGCATCTACTGTGCCATCTCCATTCTCAATAGCCTCATGTACAAAAATGTCATTGATGCTCAACATCGCACCAAGCTTTCCAATGAGCTCATGATGTACCATATGCAGGTATTATTTGATGCCTACTAGTACCATATCTGCTTCCTCCTATTGTAGTGTTAAGACACTCCCTAATAAAAAAAGAGGTATGAGAGCTTATCTGGATTAGGCTTATCTGGAGCTTATCTGGATTCTACAGGTCAACCTCTGCTGCTTTTGTCAGCTACACTTTATAGCACTAGTTAATTCAGGTGATGATGGGCATGTTTCAGGTTTCAGATGATGAGATCGAGCCAATTCTGAAAGCTAACATTCCGTCTCCAGAGGGGATACGCTCTGACTTCCACACTTTCCGGTACACACCACGCTCTATCATGGAACGGGACACTCCAATGGCCATCATAGCCATCTTCAAGGACTTGAATATGCTCCAGCGTTGGAGAATTCCCATTGAAGCTCTTGCCAGGTTGGTTTTTTTATTTGGTGGCTTTGATGCTGTCTCTGTGATCCATATTGAAATATTTGCTAATCTAAAAAAAATATCGGATTAGGTTTGTTATGATGACCAGGCGAGGTTACCGAGATCTCCCCTACCACAACTGGATGCATGCCTTTGCTGTCACCCATTTCTGTTACCTTTTGCTCAAGAACCTTCGACTCCAGGAACGGGGATACTTGAGGTGAGTCCCACTATCAAGAGGAATGCCTTTCATTTGGCCTTATGTTCCAATGCAGAACACTGGACCTTTTAACTAACAGGGATTTGGAGTGCCTATGCTTGTTGGTGGCATGTCTTTGCCATGACCTGGACCATAGAGGCACCACTAATTCCTTTCAAGTGGCGTCAAATTCTGTTATTGCCTCCCTGTATAGTTCTGAAGGTTCTGTTATGGAGGTGAGTTCAAGCTCTTATTGTACATCATCTCTTCTCATTGCATACTGTTGTCAGTGTAACACAGGTTATTAAAGAGCACATTGGATGCCCCAAGTATCACTTGAAATTTTCAGCCCTCATACATTTATTTTCAGAGGCACCATTTTGCTCAGGCCATGTGCATCTTGAACACAGAGAAATGCAATATGTTGGACAATCTGTCTGAGAAGGACTTTGAGGAGTCCATCAACCTCATCCAGGAACTCATCCTTGGTATGTGAATCTCCATTTGTTGGAAATTACTTGTGCAATCACTGTAGGTATGCATTTCATTGCTTCCTGCAGCTACTGATGTGGCAAGGCACCTCCATCTCATGCCACAGTTTCGGAAAATGATGGATACTGGGTACCAGAAGGACTCACTGGAGCATCATCGTCTCCTGCGTTGTCTTCTCATGACTGCCTGTGATTTCTCTGATCAAACCAAAGATTGGATTTCCTGCAAGAACATTGCTGTTGGTTCCTTCTTGTAATCATTAGAAAATAATAATTTACTGTTTGGCAAATATTTAATCTTTGTTTGAGTATACCTGAGTTCATTTGTACAGGACTTGTTGTATCCTCCAAAATTCACCTGCCAAAGGGTCTATTGAATTAAGATTTTTTTTTGTGTGTTGACTATAGGAGAAGATTTATCGGGAGTTCTTTCGCCAAGGAGACCTGGAGAAGGCAATGGGGAATCGACCTCTGGACATGATGGATCGGGAGAAGGCCTGCATTCCCAGTCTTCAAATACAGTTCATTGACGAATTTGCACTCCCTGTCTTTACGTGAGTTGCATCATCTCATTGGGGGTGTCCACTGGATTGGCCAATGGTTGTTAGTTGCATGCGAATGATTACAGAATCAGAAGGATGCTATGTTGCTTCCCTGCCTATAGGAGATGAGTTCATGAAAAACAGCATGGATTGCATTTTCATGCTGGTTTAACTGTAAACTGCTAATGATAAAAATTCATTTGTCATCCCTGCCTTGGTGAGTTATTATCTTCCACTAGTGAATGATTTGTAGAAATGATGATTAGAATAATCAAAAGCAATGGGTTGATGGCAGAGTTTTTGGGTGTGAGGAGTGGTTACTTGATTAGGAAAAAACAACTGAAATAACTTGTTGCTACATTTTAAATTATGGACTTAGATGAATTGTAGTTTTGTTGAAGCCATGATTAAACAAGTGGTTGAAGTGTGATGGTATCTCAGTGTCACTCCAGGACCTCTGAATGTATCAATGGTGTCAACAGAATGACATCATGATATACACAATGTATGTATCATGTCATACTCACACTTGAAGGGGTTACTGGGGAAAGCAAAACTTTTCATATTTTACTGAAGAAAAAGAAAAGCATTTGCAATTTCTTGTCATTTTTTTGGCTGTCACTTGCACTCTACAGGGTGCGTGAGTAGAATTGGCATGGAAAATACATTAAGGAAAAACATCTCTAAAACTTCTAATTTTAAACATTTATTGAAAATTCCAGAAACAAGAGCAAGGTAGTACTTTATAGATGGAACTTATTCAATAAAGCCACCTTCAGCATCAATCACAGCCTCCAGACGACCTCGGAAGCGAGAACAGGCGCGTTTTACAATCTCAGGAGACAAATCT